GAGAGAGAGTGTGTGTATGTGTGTGCGACATGCGTGCCCATGTGTGCGCACACACTCCTGTCCAGGGCGAGGGCAGAACCAGAAGGGCCAGGGCAGACGTGCTTGGTGGTCGAGCACTCAGACAAGAAGGGACAATGACATGGCCCACGATCCTTTCTCTGAAACCAGGCAGGTTTCAGAATTCAAAACGTTTCGACATTCGGAGGAATCAAAGATATGCCAGCTATTAGTTAATGCTTCACGGGTCTTAATGAAACAAATGCTCTGTAATGTACGCCATGCGCGAACCCCAGTGAGGTGGGCGCAGAAATAGCAAGCTGACCCTGTCCAGCAAGCTGATCAGGACGGAGGCCAGACGTCCTCCGCTCGGGCCAGTCTGCACGGAGTTGGGAGGAAATGCCCCTTTCAGAGCCCTTGGGGCTTCACAGTGGAGGACATGAGACCGTGGCCAGTGTCCCTAGCAATTTCTATCAGGGTCCTTAAAGCAGGTTAATCTGCTCGACTGCCTCACTCCTTCCTTTTTAAAAGAAAACTCCTGTTTTAAATAAACTCAGATGTGTCAACGTTCATAAGAGCTCAGAGAATTCCCACATACCTGCATGCAGATCCTGTGACCCTTACCATGTTCCACACCTTAACTAGTCACCTACAGCTCTGCCTTCTGGGCTGACTGCAAAGGGCAGACATAAAGGTCTTCCACCCTGGACGGTTTTGTGAAAACGGCAATGTTCACTCGTAGAACCACAACACAGCGATCCAAGTTAAGTAAGAACGTGGGGGGCGACTTACCCTCTAACCTGCGGCCCTTCCACCAACATAACATCTGATTTTAAACGAAGCCCAGCCCAAGACAACTCTGACTGCTGTCATTTTCAAGGCGGATCCAGTAGCAACTGTAGTGAATATCCCTCGATTCTCAATTCCCAAACTCCAAACAGCCAACAGCCAAGCATAACTAATAAAGAGCCATGTGACAGCCACGCCTGGATGTGGAGGTCAAGACCCACTTATATAGTTAAGAGTATCTGTTCTGTTGACTCCCTGCTCTGTGACTTAGTTCACGTCTTCCCTGCACATTTCTGTTCTGAATCCCTTCCAGAAAGAATGAGTCCCTTTCTTTTGAGGTGAAAAGGGTTTTCTGAAAAGGATACCTGGAAGCACAAACTGGTCGTGTGAGACATCGGACGTAAGTGTCGTGGCTGACGGCACCGGTGGCTGTAACTCAGCATGTCCCCCTGAAGGTGTCACCTACGAAATCAGTAAGGGAAGGTGTCACTCATGTCACGGCACGAAAAATGAAGCTCAAGCAATATGCCCACCCGACACCCTTCAGCAAGGACAGTGTCACAAAGACGCCAGCACGATTTCTTTAATTTCACTCTGAAATGCCAAGAGTTCCTGAATGTCATCGTTTCCTTCTCTCCTTATGATCTGTTACTGGGGACCTAAATCCGTAATCCAAAGGCACAACGAGTTACCTGGAGGCTCAGGTAGGATTTTACGGTTCTGAGAAGACCTGTTCCCTCTTACCGTCCCCACGTCAGGAAGGCTCCACACCCCACTTTATAATGCACGAGGGTTCGACATACAACTCTCTTTTCTATGACATACAACTTTAGCCACAATTCATTGTGTTGAGATATTTTGCATTTCTTGACTGATAATAAAGGCTTTTAAAATAAAGTTTCAAATGGTGTAGAAAAATTTAATAGTGCCAATAAAAAAAATTACAGGAGTAGTAAAAGGAGGTCCTACACTTCCAGTCATTTCAAGACCAACTGTGGCAAAATGAAAACAAAAATAAATAAGCAGTACTCTGACAACGTGCTTCAGAGTAGGGCACTTTTAAAATCACTGGCAATAAGAGAGATGCAAATCAAAACCACAATGTGAGACCATCTCACCCCAGCAGCAGTGGCAAAGCGTAGGCAGGGCTGCAAATAATAAATGTTGGAGAGGATGTGACAAGAAAGGAACTCTTGTACTATTGGTGGGATTGTAAAATGGTACAACCACTCAGGAAGGCAGTTTGACGCCGCCTCAAAAAGCTGAACATAGAAATGCCATATGACCCGGCTATTCCACTGCCTGGAATATACTCCGAGAAAATGTAAACTGAGGCACAAACAGAGACTTGGACACCAATGTTCATAGCAGCGTTATTCACCATCACAAGAACATTGAAATAGCCCAAATGCCCAACCACAATGGAATGGATTGAGAAATTATGGTACATTCAGACAATGGAATATTACGCAGCACGCAGGAGCAATGATTTTGTGAATTGCTATCTAACCTAGGAAGGACTGGAGAGCATTATGCTGAGTCAACCACTTAGTCTCATAAAGACAAATACTGTGTAAGAGCATTATTGCAGAACGAGTACGAGGATCCTGGGAATAGGGGGCTTAATCATAGGGTCACACAATCTGATGGTTGGAGGGAGGAGTGGGTATAGGAAAGGGGAACAATTTGGTGTGAAAAACAATGTATATGAATGAACTTTGTAAGTAAACCAGTATAAAATTTTTTAAAAAACCCATAAACTCAAAAGAAACTCTGCCGAAAACAGCACAATTTTACCTGTAGGTTGAGAGCTGAGCAGCCTAGGGGTCTCCAGGTGGATGGGAGGCACCTCCCCATGAAATGGCCCCATCTGGACTGGCCAGATACCACTTTTCTAGGCCACTGATTTATTCTCTCTGGGAGAGAAGCACCTCTCATGCCTGAACACCTCCACGCACAGGGCAGGAGCAGACAACGTAACTTATGAATCGACCCGGCCCCACACTATCTGGCTCACAACACCTGCATATTTCCATGTATATACCAGCTGTGAATGCAGGGTACACTGGACCTGGAAGTAAATGAACACACAATTTTTTAAATCCCTCTTTCAACTTCACACTTGCTGATCATCTCTCTTCTCTTCAAGTAAAGGTGACAGAGTCACAAGAAATGAGAGGAGAAAGCTTTAACTAAGAAATGCAAACCAGGTCAATTCCACTCTAACAAAGCACTCAAAGAAACATGCCATCAGTAATGACCTTACTGATCTTAGGGAAGGCAAGAAGAACGTATTAGTGAGAATATGGTAACGGTACTTAAAGCCACTGTCTAACAACAGGCTTGAATCTGCTTATGAAAACTGAAGAAAAAAAACAACTTCCTACAATGTGTTTATAAACAGATTTGATAACTAAAGCAGCTTTCTGAGACATGCTTCACTGTACGACAAGCAACTTAAATTAGAAGCCTTTTGTATAGCAAAACAACAGCAGTCATTTACCATATTAAACGAAAACCAGACTGCAAATCACAGACAATTCTTGACATATAAACAAAATGCATCAATGTTCAGAAACACTGCTTTCTATAATCTGTCTACAGAAATAAAGATTTTATGGGACATTTAAAATTTTTTGAACATTAATTCAGGGCTTGGCTATTTCAGCTGTCACAATGGGCTTTATGATACTCTCCACTTTCTCTCCTCAAAATTAGTTTCAGTGCTTAAATAGGCAATTCAGTCAAAAAAAAAAAAAAGAACAAAGGAAGGGAAAGGATTTGTAGTATGAAAAGACAAGGTACCAAGCTGCTCCTGAGTTAAAAGTGAGGCACAATGAGTTGGAAAGATTTGTAGGGAGCCCAGGCCCAGGCGTTTATGTTTACAGATGATCCTGTATTCCACACACTCAAGAGAATAAACAATAACCCACAGTTTATACCAATAATTATACTCAAAACAGAGTTAGGTCAGACAGTCTTCGTGGGCAGAGAGGTACAATGTGCATCATCTACACGGCAGAGGCGTGATGTGTGCGTCTACACCAGGAGCTAGGCAGAGTCCCGCTGGGATACTGAGAGTCTAAGTTCACCAGAGTTCTCTTCCCCACCCTCTGGGAGCCTCGTAACCTCCAGCGAAAGACTTAAATTCTCCAAGAAGGTGCTTCTTCCTTTTTCAAAATGTCCCTCCCCAAAACTGGGGCCGATTTTCAGAATTAAGTCCTTCTTAGTATTTAAGGCAACAGATTGCAAATTACTGGTGTGGCCATCTGAGTGCCGGAGCTTGAAACACTGGCTCAAGGCTCACATCAAAGATTACTACTTAACACGATTGCATTTCTATCAAGATTCAAGAAATGATGTGTTAGTGGAAAAAAAATGTGAAAATACTCAAATCTACTTTACATAGTACAGTATGGCTATCTATTTATCAAAAGTGCGGAGATCCTGGTTCAAAATGGACTTTTAAAAGAAGAATCTTTTAAATTATTATTAGAAGATAATAAGGGCTATAAAAATGTAAGTTAGTTGAAAAATCCTCAAAGTGATCACAAAGCAGAGGAAAAGAAACATTGTCACTTACTCTTAGCCCAGTGGGTAAGGAGATGCATTGCCAACCCCCGGGCTAGTGGTTCAATCCCCGGGGCTAGTGGTTCAACCCCCAGGCTGGTGGTTCAACCCCCGGGCTAGTGGTTCAATCCCCCGAGCTGGTGGTTCAACCCCCGGGCTGGTGGTTCAAGCCCTGGGCTGGTGGTTCAACCCCCGGGGGGCTGGTGGTTCAACCCCCGGGGGGCTGGTGGTTCAACCCGCAGGCTGGTGGTTCAACCCCCGGGCTGGTGGTTCAACCCCCGGGGGGGCTGGTGGTTCAACCCCCGGGGGGGCTGGTGGTTCAACCCGCGGGCTGGTGGTTGGAGAAAGCTGGGCAGTCTCCTCCCATGTGATCTACGGTCTCTGAAAACCTGCTGCGGGTCAGCCAGGTGTCACTGCCATTCACGGCACACAACAGTCACTGTCAAAAGCGCAAATGTTGACAAATTACAAAACAGGACAATTATATACAAAACAAGAATATTCTGCTATCACCTGCCATGGTACTCATTCAAACGCTACAGTCCTAGGATGACAGAAACACACGTATCCCAGGTATTACTGAATCGACAGCTAAGCCCTGTTAACGTGAGTATTAAATCTGTGCACAGCCAACAAAGATAATGGGAATTTCATCACGATGCAGGTCTGTGTTTAGCACATTAAGAACACTGCATCATGACAACTTGCACGTGAACCCTGCCACACAGCCCTCTGTCTGGAAAAGGGAGGAAATCCCACTTCCACTTGGACAAGCGGGGCTCAACAAGCACCAAGCGGCTGCCTCGCCCAGTGGACTGTGGCGCTGTTAACGCCACATCGCCGCACATAGGACCTCATTTGGGGCTCACATCTCCCTCTTACTGACCCTGGTGAACCTGCCTCTCAAGTGCAAGTTCATGGCAAGAGCTGGTGATGCTTCAAAGAGGAGGAAAGCGATGAGTGGAAATGACAGCGCGCCGGGAGAGGCGTGTGCTGCTCTGTCTGGTGAGAGGGAGCAAAGTGGTGGCTCCAGTACCAACGTGGAAAGGCTGCACTAAGTCAATTAGCAGGTCAAAGTCAGCACAAAACACCCACTGCTCACAAACCTCCCCTGAGGCTTGTTGTCCAAGGAGCCGACCGCAGTGAGAGGCCCGCTGCTCCTGTTCCTCAAGCCCCGGCTCCCCAGCACCAGACCCCACCTTCAGCAGCCGCCACCCCTCATCACCTGCCAATCATCAATGTCTCCACACCGTTACCTCAGGAATGCACCTTCCAGCGTGTAAGACGGCGATGGAGCAAGAGTGCTGACCTTTAATCACAATCTCTTCCTTACATCTGTACCAAAACTGTTTTAAGAACTCTGTAACCTTCGTTCTTTTTAGGATGGGATGCTCCCACACACATTTTCTCCCGCTTCAGTACAGAACCTTACATAAACCCAAGACTCAAAGCCATCAGGTCAATGCTGACACACAGTGTGGCTCCACCTGGCTTCTGACGCTGTAAATCTTAACAGACAGAGGAAGACTACTTATTATGCTCATTGCTGTTGTTATATGCCATCAAGTACAACTTACAGCGACTCTATCGACAGCCAGCCTGAGCCCTGTCCTACCCTGTGTCATCCTTACATTTCTGATATATTTCACCTCACTCCTGCAGCCATCGTGTCAATCCATGTTGTTGAAGGTCTTCCTCTATTTCGCTGACCCTCCAACGTTCCTAGCATGATGTCCTTTTCCAAGGAATAGTTTCTCCTAACTCCATGTCAAAGTACTTATAACGAAGCTTTGCCATCCTTGCCTCCACGGGGCCTGTCCCTTCTCTGAGACATCTGTGTTTTCTCTCTTGGCAGTCCCCCCCAAAACTCAGCCCTCTTCTCCAACACAACTCAAAGGCATCAATTTTTCTCGTCATTCTTTCTGTCTAGCCCTCAGATGCAAGGGACTGAAAAGTCTTTGCCTTGAATAAGGTGTAAACTTGGTCTTTAAGCTGACATCATTGCTCTTCAGAACTTTGGAGAGGTTCCTGACAGTAAATTTTCCCATAAAAGTATGTCATGACTTCTATTATTATTTTATTCACGGTACAATCACATGTGAGGAATTCTGGGGAGAAAATTGTTTAATTATTAACCAGAAAAATAAACAGCTGAAGCCCACCAGGCCCCACTCAGAGATGTGGTGGTCTGCTACCATAACAACATTAGGCTTGGTTTCTTTATTCTCATTTATGTTTTAGGGTGTTCAGAGGAGATTCTTAGCTATTTAATATACACCCACAAAACCACGGTCCATGGTCATGGAGTTGCGTCCGACGCAGAGTAAACCTGTCAGGTGTCCCAGGCTGTAAATCTTTATGAAAGGAGCCTACCCATCTGTCTCCTCCAGAGCAGCGGGAGGGATTTGAACAGTTGATCTGTTGGTTAGCAGTGCAACACATAATTCACTAAGTCCTTATTGTTCTCTGCATATGCACTGGAAGGTAAAATAGAATTTCAGGAAGTGAAAATGTGATTTCAGAAAGAAAAACCATGCTTCCGGCCTGACTCCTCCCACCCCAAGGACAGACAGTGACCTAAAAGAGGTAGCCACAAGTTCAACGCCAGGGGCACCGACACGTTACTCTAGCTGTTAATTTACAAAACTTAAGCTTCCAAGTCTTACAAAGCTTGCCAAACAAACCAACCTCGTAGCCATTAGAAAACACCGTTACAGTCCCTAATACGGCTTTAACAGCAGGGGATGGACGATACAGCAACAGCACAATACGTCTTATGACCCAAAGCAAAAGATAATACTTTCCTTAGAAAGACAAGAAGGAAGGAGAACAAATCAATCAACAGACCACGTCTTCTTTCAATTCCAGGAGATAAACTAAAAGACGACAGGAATCCACAGATAAGCTTATTTGCAAGATTTAAATCCACTCAGTTTACATTTTAATTTGTAGCTTCAATCTTTTCCTTATCCTTTTTTAAAAATTAAATTTAATAAAGTTTACAGAGATTTAGGGTTTCCAGTCACTCACTGTTGCACTTTTCCCCCTACCCATCCTCTCCTCCCCAGTGCACTTTTCTCCTTGATGAGTAAAGGAGAAACTCTTTCATTGCTATGCAGTCCTTCCCCCCAAGTCCACTGCACTGTGCAGCTTTCATTCTGGTGAGAAAGTATTATTGGTTAGAGCCTCCCAACTTAGGCATAAAGCAATACTGATATAAAGAGTAAATTCTCAACAATTAAAAAACATGTATATATATGGTTACACAAATATACCCCTAGCCATGCATGCGTATGGGTACTACGTTGTTACATATGTGTTCACAGACAGAGATATATGTATAGGCATGTCACATATAGGGGGTGTGTGTGCATGTATGTTCATACAGACAGTAAGTTATATAAGGGATGATGTTACAGATACTTCTCGGTATCTTATGAGATTGATCTTCTGAGTGCAAAAACTTAAAAACAGGCTCATGGGACAATTCCACTTCACTGGCCTGACCTGACCAGAAAATATCAAGAAAATCTCCACATCTCAGTGCAGAGGGTAGTGTCCATGGTCTGAAAAGCTTGTGAATGGTCATCTTACATAGATGTTAGAAGAAAAGAAAAAGGCACAAAGACTCAGAGCAGAACTTAATCCACAGGACTAGCTGTCCACACTAGCCCAGCTTCACCACCCGGAGTTCAGGAGAACAGGATGGTGCCGCGTCCACTGTGGACTGCTCTGACCAGGGCCACGCAGACAGATCCCGAGAGATGGGGGAATGTGGAACCCCCGTCCTCCAAGAACCCACGGTCAGTCAACTCTGTCTCATGGTGCTGTGGTGACTGCCGAGTCGGCATGAGCCCACAGCTGACCCTACAGAGGGTTTTCAGCGCTGTCACACTGCACGGGAGACTGACCATCCTTCTGCAGAGTAGCCAGGGGATGTGAACCCCGTGCCTTCGGGTTGGCAATACGGCTCCTGACCACTGGGCCAGGAGAGCTTCAGAAGACTTAGGGTTCAGTTCTCCCCAAACCCTTGCTAATGTGCTCTGTGTGTGTGTACCATCAAATCAGATGGGACTGGTACAGGAGGAGATCGTCCCATGTGGTGGGTTCGAGCCGCACACCTCTGGGATTGCAGTGCAGCTCTTTTTCTTTTTTTATAACTGTTGTGTTTAAGGTAAAAGTTTACATGCTGGAGTTAGTTCTCACGCAAGCATCTGTACACAAACTCTTCAGTGATACTGGTTCCATCTGCACATCTGGCCATCATTTCCGTCATTCTGCCACAAACTCTTCAGTGATACTGGTTCCGTCTGCACATCTGGCCATCATTTCCGTCATTCTGCTTCAGGTGCACCATTTCTGGGACCCTGGTTCCCCGGGTCCCTTCCTTCTCATCTCCATTTTACAGTAACTGTTTTGGGTTTTTTTTTGTTTTTTTAAATTTTATTATTTTTGTGTGAGTGTACCGTCAAATCAGATCTGACTGGTACAGGAGGAGATTGCTCCTCCTTCCCCGGCAGAGCATCTGGTGGATTCAAACCGTGTACCTCTGGGATTGGAGTTGCAGCTTCTTGCCACTAGGCCACCAGAGCTCCCCTTCCATGTTACAGTAACTGTTGACCATTTCATCACTGACGGATGATTTTTAAAAGGTTATGTGCTTCATTTTATGAGCCCATATGTCATTTAGCTAAAAGATGACTGGCCCCCCAGGCAACCTCAACTAAGTTAAAAGAGTATCTCAGAGTGACAGTCTTGAGGGATTATCTGGTCCCAACTAGTTTTGCAGGTCAGGACATGTGAAGGATTTTACCTGTGTTCCACATTTATCAGATGCGCCGGTGGTGCTAAATGTTAAACATCAAGCTGTCGACTGAAAAGCTAGCAGTTCAAATACGTGGGAGGGATTCCGAGTTCCGTTTCAGACCATCACAGCAAAGCAAGTCACATTCCATTTTCAGTTTCTTAGAGCATATAGTTACGTTTACACAAGAATGTTGCTGTTTCTGTTCCTGCACGCTGTCCAGGCAGGGCTGACTCCTAACTGGCCCTCCAGGGGATTTCAGAAGCAGTCCATCAACAGGAGGAGACTGCCAATCCTTCTCCCCCAGAGCAGCTGGTGAATTCGAACCACCTGCCTTTGGGATTGCGGTGCAGCTCCTAACATTTGAGAAACCACAAAAAGTAAATCACATATAATGAAAGAAATTGAATTTTCAGTCAAAAGACTAGAAAATTCAAAGAGAATGTTCAGCAAAGACTAGAAAGAAGAACTCCCCTATCTCCAGGTTGGAAAGGAAAGCACGCCACTTGCTGGAACTGGGTCATCTTCCCACCCACCCAAGGTCAGGTCATGCTTGCAGCACTAACCACGACCGTCCTAACCTCCAAGAAAAAGGAGTTTAAAAATACGGCAAAGTTGTTTCAGCTTGTGAGACGTAATTCTCATGGCCTTACAATTATTTATTGTTTTCTGCTTTTGCTCAGGGAAGAAGAGGGGTCAAACCACTGCCATCCTAGTATTTCTTACAACACAATGACTATCTCAAAACTTTCCAAGTCAAACACAATAGTTGTCTGGCTGAGAATAAACAACGGTGTGTGTTTATAAAACCTCCAAAATCTGGTATGAATTCATTATTTAAAAGTTCTTTGTGTCTCAAACAATTCCTAATGTTCCAGCCTCTTGCAGTGTGGTGAGGACGACAACACAGAACACTCTCGGCTGGCCTGTGTGCGCAAAAGGTGACGTCTCTCAGCCACACGTACACGCAGGACAGCACAGAGCGAGTGCAGGGGCTTCTGCGCCATCGCCTCGTTAGTGGGGGTGGACGGTGCAGACCTTGACGATGAGCACATAATGAAACATCGCCGACAAATACCTGGCAGGGCTCTGTGCAGTCACCCAGCATGAACCCGCTTGGCATTCATACCCGCGACTTCACGCCCAGCCCGACCATGTGCCCGCAGGCAGACACCGAAGCACTAACGCGTCCCCCAGGAGTACCATTGTTTCCGAGGTGGATAGGGAGCTTGGGTCCTGATCTTGACTGGACAGCGGAGTCGGGGTCCTCCAGAACTTGAAGGAGTCGTCCAGACCTGGGGGGACAGCAGAATGGTTAACACGGGCACTCTCCTGAAGCAATTACAGGAAAAGACTTACGAAACCAACAAAAACAAAACACAAAGTCGGACCAGTGCTCACTGCTCTTCATTTACAAGCAGAGCTTGGTTTACAGACTTTATATATACATTCCAAAACGAAACCCCTGCTCTCCAGCCAATTCCCTCACACAGTCACCCTCGATCGGGTTCCAGGGCTGTTTATAGAAACGTTTACAGAAGAAGACCCGTCTTCCTCCTGCAGGGCAGCTGTGTTCACAGGCCTGCCGTGAGCCACAGCTGACTCAACAGCACAATAACAACAGATTATCAACACTGGAGCTCTTGTGGCACATTACGCAGGGCACTACAGTGCTGACCAAATACCACCCTTCCCTGGTGGTTCAAATCCAGGCTCTGTAGGAGAAAGACAGGCCCCCTCCAGTGTGACTTACAGAGAAAATCTGGAGAGGGTCAGCAAGAAGTCAGCCTCAACTTGGTAACAATGAGTTGGGTTTTGATCCTGTAATTAGGCAGTTTTAGTGGTGTAGTGTGTTACGTGCTGCACTGTTAACCGCAAGGTTGGCAGTTTGAATCCAGTAGCTACTTTTTGGGAGACAGGTGGGCAGTAATCTCCGTGAAAGACTGAAAGCTCTGGACACTTGAAGGAGGACGGCTGCGAGTCAGAACCAGTCTGTCATCAGAGGGCTTGATCTTTTGGTTCACAGCATAAATAAGAGTTGGTGGTACGTTAGTTAAAGCACTCATTCTCACCAAAGCACTATGAGAAAAAGATGGGGCTGCCATCGGTCCTACAATGTTGCTATGAGTTGAAATTGCCTTGATGGTAATGTGTCTGTCTGATGTCTCAAAAAAGAACGTATTTAATGGTGAAACAGAAGAGCAGGAGAGCTATTCTTCTTAAGTCAGGACTACAAAGAGGGCTGGTAGTTTTCTCCAGACTTGTTACCCAACCCTACGTAGTAGATCTAGCCAAGAGAATCAATCTAGAAACAGAATATAAAGGCATTCTCACCAAATAAGAGACCCAAAGGCACACATCAATATAAATGAGTAAAAAGGGGAAAAGGAAACTCTTTGAGTGGAAAATAAATGTAGATGAAATGAAGAATTAGGAAATTCACCATTTGCCAACTGATATAAAAACTGATTTGGGCAAGAACCATCAACAGGTGCTAAAACTAATTGGAGGCAGCTGGGGGGAGCCTCAGCACGTTCACACAGCTTTCGTGTCACCGCACAGGGGACACAGCGGCTTGAGAGCTGACTGAAGCCACGCTAACGTAGGGCTGTGGCCTCGGCATGTCCTAATCTGAAGCACAGAGAAAGGCTCGGCACTGCTTCCGAGGTGTTCCTGCCAGGAGTTCACACCTGACCAGGACCGTGAGGAACCATCAGATATACTCAGCTGTGCAGAGAGGGACTCAGGAACCGTTCAGAAAAGAGAGCCAAACGGGACCCATGATCCTGGTTTGCCTTTGTAGGCAGAAAACATTTCAACCAAGGCTGAAAGAGGCTGGAAAAGGCCGCACGATTCAGAGCTGCTCCCTCGACAGCTGTAGCTCAGAAGCGGTGGCTTCATTTTTCAGGAAATTCCCACTTAAGAACTTGAAGGTAAAAGAGTTTCATGTTGCTACTGACTCTTAAGGAGTTCATTAAAAACCCATGGCCGTTTAACACATACATGTCGTTGTTGTCGATTGCCATCGAGTAGGGCATGTCTCATAGTGACCCTATGAACAAAAGACCTGAGGCCTTTCTATAACTATCGTCATTTCTCCCAAGTTCACAGTTTCCAGAGGCACGTGGTTTAGGAAGGGGATGCCACTCCTGCTTCCAGACCTGAATTAATCTGGGAACAAATAAATTAATTTCATTTCTACCTCCATTCATCCATGTACATGATGGAGGAGGTGCAAAGACAAAAAATTATTAACATTTGAAAAATAGTAATTTGAAAAAGAAAGGAGGTCCAAGAAATCTCTGTCTCTTTTTAAAACTACTTTTCACAACTGTGAAATTATGGCAAATATTTTAAGTTTACTTTTAAGTCGATACTTTATCATTACAAGGCATATTATTACTAAAGTACTGTTTGTCACCAGCAGACAGGCAATGTTTAGTGAATGAGGAACACAGAAATGGACATAAGATGTGAGTACAACTGCTCAGAATAAACAAACAACAGAGGAAGATGACGTGCAGAAAACCTACCCTGACGACACAGCGATGATCTCTGGGTGGGAGAACCAGGGTGAACATGTAACGACACAACAATAACCTCCAGGGGGCACAACCAGGGTGAACATCTTTTTTCTGTATACTTTTCATTTGTTTTAAATATTCTGTATAAGTAAAGTTTTAAACCATCATTACATTTTACGGAAATGAAAATGTTGACACAGCGCACTTACTGTTTGAACTAGTGCTGTCTGAGCGCTGACCCAGCGGCGAGCCGTCCAGATCGAAGGTGCAGCGCCCCAGGAAGCAATGCCGAACCATCTGGTCCAGGTGCTCATAGAAGTGGCAGTGGTACAGAAGGGCCTGTAGAGCAGGCTTTCCTACAAGCGACAGGCCTGAGTCCTCGTCATGGACACAGGGGCCCTGCAGGGATGGGGGGGCAGGAGAAAGACTGATTCAGGTACAATTTCCCATGAAAGATCCACATCGCTCCACAGTCCCCCCAAAACAAGCAAACTCCAGAAACCAGCTCGCCTCCTCCCTCCTGTATGTCCAGAGCTCCGAGCGGCCTGGCCTGGGCCTGCTCCTCAGTCCCGCTCTCACGACTGCCTGAGTCCTGGAGCGTGGGGCCTGGCCCACGAGCTCCCAGAGCCCTTTAGTTCAAATGTTCCCTGGAAAAGGCCCGGCTTTACCCAGACCAGCATGATCCTGTGGCACAAGCACAACAGAAGCAATACTTCCAGCCTACAGAACAGAGTGAGAGGGAAAGTACTAGAATATCGGAGATGGGGCAGTCCAGAATTTAGGTCCAAAACCTTTTCTTGTACCTGTCATTAAGCTATATAAAGTGAAAAAAAAAATTTTAAAAAAAAAAAACCAAAACTATAGAAAGTGAAAGAGCTCATTAATAACCACAGTAAAACATAATCAATAATGTAATTGTCAGTGGACTACCTGCTTTTTTCATCCCCCAACCCTCCTCTTGACAAGTTTTATATCTGTACATATACACACAGAGCACAGAAAATTAAAAATGAACATGACAGGAGCAGTGCCAACAAGCAATGTATAGTCAAAAAGTATCCAAAGTTTCCTTCAACTCTAAATTGTAGTTGGGATCCCAGAGGTGCATGGTTCGAATCCACCAGATGCTCTGCCGGGGAAGGAGGGACAATCTCCTCCTCTACCAGTCAGATCTGATTTGACGGTACAAGCACACAAAAATAATAAAATAAAAAAATAAATTGTAGTTGGCTCTTTTCTTAACCCTCCCTATCAGCAAGGGAACATGAACATTAAAACTTTCTATTCAGGCCCATAATGTAAGTCACAAGTTAACAAGTCTTTGCATTATCACTTGTTTTTTTAAGGTATTCTTCTCATTAAATCTTAGCTTCAGTAAATGTTTTATGTTTAGTAGTTTGCATTGGGAAAGTCTGCTGTCAGGGACCTCTCGAGAGTACTGAAAAGCCATGATGTCAGTCTGGAGACTAAGGTGGACCTAATACAGGCCATGGTCTTCACAATTACTTGCTATGCATCAGAGAACTGGACAATAACTAAGGATGAAAAAAAAAAACCAAAAAAAAAAAAAACTAAGGATGAAAGAAGAAGGATTGATGCTTTTGAGTTGTGGTGCTGGAGAAGACTGTTGGACATACTATGGGTTTCCAGGAGAACAAACAGGTCTGTCCTAGAGAAAGTGAAACTAGGCTGCTCCTTGGAGGCAAGGATTATGAGGATTTCTCACATACTTCGAGCACATGGCCAGGAGGGACCAGTCCCTGGAGAAGGACATCATGCTTGGAAGGGTGGAGGGACAGCGTAGGAGAGAAAGGCCCCAGAGGAGATGGACTGACTCAGTGACTGAAGAAACGGGATTAGGCCTGTTGGAGACAATGAGGTTGGTTCAGGACAGGGCAGGGTTCAGAGCTAGTGTACATAAGGTCGCTATGAGTCGCCGGTAACTCGACGGCACAAAATAACAACAACAGTTTTCTGTTGGTACCGTGTTCTACATGGTGAATGTACGCTTCATGAATAAAGTGATTTTATCTTAGAAATAAGACTGACACAGATGTTGCTGCTGAAACTATAAATGTCAAAGTCTGGGAGAAGCCGGTAAACCAGGGAAGGACCACACACGGCCCACGATCCCACCTTCTTGTTCACTAACCACGGCTGCTCAGGTATTGTACTCCTTTAACACATTACTTTATTCACTCTAGAGTCATGCAATTTACCCCAAACCACAGAGCCAAGGCTAACATTATCGTTTTTTTGTCAAAAATATCATTCTTTAATACACAAGAGCACACCAAACATACAAAGAGAATGAGAAGAGTTGCTTAACATCACAACATGAACGCCTGATTGTAATAATAGGGGGAAAATTAACAATCTATAACAACGTTCAAGCCAGAAGCCAAGAGGGAATTCACTTCTCACTTTTCCTCGATGCCCAGATTCAATCCAGCAACAAAATCCACAATATCTATTCCTAGATTGTCCATCGGAGCCTAGTGCATTGGGAGCTGGACTCCATATCAAAAGGTCAATAACTTGAACTTAGCAGCTACTCCATGGAATAAGAACGTGGGAACCTGCTTCTCTAAAGGCTTCCAGCCTCCAAGTGCCCAGGGGCAGTTCTCTCCTGTCCCACAGGGTTGCAATGAGTCAGAATGGATCAAGGGAAGCGAATGGCCTTCTGCAATTCACTCACCCACTTCTCATCCCAGGACTCGAATCCAGGCAGGGAGCTTCTCCTGCCTACGTTCCGGTCCCAACTCCTGGATGATCCCACCTCTGTCCCTCACACCCTGAAGCATCATTCCAATACAGTGAGTAGCTCAGGTGTTCTCCTCACTAGCTCAGATCTGGCCTCTTCCTGCACTTTCCAGAGACAAGCCAGCAAGATCCAAATCCCTAAGCAGGTCCCCTGCACAGTCTGCAATCTGATGAACCCCACTGAGATTTTAGTACCATGTAGTGTCTATCTTAATAGTCCATTTTTATAAGATACCATTAATTTTAAAAGTTTTTACAAAACTACAGGGTTGATGGAAATGTGAACTGCACAGTCCTGGAGAAAGCAAATCAGGGGCATCTACTGATGAAGACTAAGACTATTTTCCGTACAGATCAAACCAGAAGAAATGAAAGCTGCATTACAGAGAGACATAACAGAGGGATGAGAGATTATGAAGGCTGAAAATTAATAATGATCGTCAACTCATCAGGCAAGGACACGTGATTGATGGGGATTTTTGTGGAGTTCTACATAGTGGTTGTTTTTTATTTAAATGAATTGATTGTATTAAAAGTTTAGGTAAACTTTCACCCAGGATTGCTGGGAGGAGAGAGAAGGGACAAGCTGTGGAAACACATAAACCCCAGCCCAAGCGTACACCCAGCTGTGCGTGCACCAACCCGCATGCACTTGGACGTGTGTGTGCCTGACTGAGCATGCTCCGCTGGGAACTGAAGACACACTGAAGGATGCAGCCTGACGGAAGTGTGCACGCTACTCCCACGGTCCCGGAATCGTGCTGAATCCTCCCTCCTCCATGGGGACAGGACCCTGTTAGAACCCCATCTCCAGTTTGTTATGCTGGCAAGTCATCTGAGTAGAGAAAGGGAGGGACAGGACCCTCACGGGCACCCCAACCCATCTTTTAAATAGGGAGGTGGTGAGAGGCAGGACCCATGGTGGATGGAACCAGAAACAGCGGAATGACCGGTGGACAAGGCCCACACACAGCAATGTGCACACGTGCTAAAGCTGGAGGTGGAACCCAGCGCACAGTCGGCCACAGACGTAACACAGATACGTGCTACCAACACTAGAGGTACGGAGCCCCATAAAGAATCAACTACGAGCTTCAAGCTTCGTCTTACAGACTTTGGGCATGTTGCTAGGAGAGGCTACTCCTTGGACAGGGACATCATGCTTAGAAAGGTGGAGGGATGGTAAGAGAGAGAGACCCCACCAGCTAAGCTGACACAGTGACTGCTGCAATGAGCTCCCGTGTGTCAGATGCAGAGGACAGCAAAGCGGAGGACAGGGCTCAGATCTGCTGTTCGTGGGGTCGCTACGAGTCATATCCAACTTGATGGCACTTGACAAAAACACCCATAAAGAACTCAATGAGACACAGCTAACACTGTTCCTGTGAGCTGGAGGGCCACACCTTCCATTACAAGCCCTATTAGCTTTTTCAACTACCTGTGTTCATTATTTAAAAAAAAATTCCTTGCACACCCATGTTTATTGCTGCTTTGTTCACAATAGCAAAGAGCTGGAAACAACCCAAGTGCCCATCAACAAACAAACAGATAGAGAAGCTCTGGTATATCCACACAATGGAATACTATGCAGGATTGAAAAGCAAGGAACTCATGAAATATTATGCAAAATGGATGGATGATCCTGGAGGACATTATGCTGAGTGAAATATCTTAGTCACAAAAGGACAAATATTGCATAGGGCCACTGTTGTAAAAAGTGACTGACATCAGGGTTGAGGGAAGACAGAAAAGGAGAGGAGGAATGAGGTATATTGCATTGAAACAGATGAGGGAGAAAACTGTTTAAAAGGGATATGTGAATGGGTATTCTTGTCATGACAGAAATCCAGAATGAAGGCTGCACAGTGGAGTGGACTTGGGGAGAGGGACTGCATAACAATGAAAGAGCTCTTCTTTCTTTTCAAGGAGAAGAGAGAATTAGGGAGGAGGTGGTGGCAGGGAGAAAAGTGCAGCAATGAATGACTGGAAACCCTAAGTCTCTGTAAACTTTCATAAAAAAAATTCCTCTAAAAGATTCAACATCGTTTTAAACTTTTCAAATGCAAGCCTAACGCATGCGTGGATTACATACACCGTTTCTGCCCGTGTTTGACATTTGCTCCCTGGGAGGATGCGCACGGAGAGCTTCACTGCAGCAGTGACAGTGACGGGCAGAGCTCCATCTCAGCGGGCGAGCCCGGCAGGTGCACAGAGGTGGCTGAGGGCACAGGTCAGGACAGGCATCTGTCAGGCACAGGCCGGCTCTGCTCCCGGGGCCCGTCCATAATTAATGGAGCTGTCCTCAGACATACTAGGGAAACACACAGTCTAACTGCTCATCTGCAGACGTCTGCATCTATCAGCCTCACCCTCGGGTCACGCGAGGGCGGCCAGAGCATCTGCGGAAACACCAGGGACAGCAGAGAGGGGCCGTCTGCAAGCAAGGGGGCTCTGCAGGCCACCAGGTGCTGTGGAAAACAAATGCATTCTGTCATGGGAAGCTCTAATTAATTTGCAAAGCCTGTTCTCAAGGATGCAGTCAAGAAGACCATTCATTTGAGAACCTATTTCTGTCCTATTCTCACATTGCTAACATACTCATTAGGGAGCTCTGGTGGCCTAGAGGCAAGAAGCTGTGCTGCAATCCCAAAGGTACATGGTTCGAGGCCATCAGCTGATCCGCGGGAGAAGGATGGGCAATCTCTATGTGATTAACTGCCTCTGAAAACCCACCAGACAGTCAGATGTGGGTCGGTTCCAACTCGACAGCACACAACAACAACATACTCATTAGCTTTGAGTTGAAGTATAACTAGAAGCAAACCAAGAATTGCATTTTAGGTAGAAAATTATGTTTTTCCGGAGGAAAACAAAATATTTTTATTTAAAATAAAAAAAAAATCACTACAGATATAATGAGAGGAAATGGGTGCTAACCACAAGTTAACAACTGTGTAGATAAACAACACAGTTAAAATGAAAATGCTTCACTGGCACCACGTATTATACTGTTTGAGGAAATAATACACACGATTATTCATATGCAGCACATTAAAAGGTGAAAAATACATGCAATGAATGATTCCATCCAATTTGAAAATGCTGTGTCCTCTACCTACATAGGAGTCAATTATGCATCTGAAACACACCCAGGTGTTCCCAAGCTCCACCCACGTGGGAGCACAGCCAGCCAACCTTACCTAGGAGTAACGGGCATACCCATATCCCACCCCAGTGTCCACCAGCAGGAATCAAGGCTCTCTGGGAGCCCAAGGGGGGCCGGGCAAGTTTAGGACATCCTGCTGGCATGGAAAGATGGAAATACTCAGAGATTCAGGAAACATGTTCAAAGGACACAAAGGTCACCATGGAAAGGTTCTCTATGGTCAAATCTGGGAGAATTTGAACACGAAAATAAGTAATGATAGCAACAGCTTATAATCACGGAGTGAAAGAAAAACTCATGAATCCTTACTGGTCTAAACAAAGCAAGGCAGAGGGAAGAAATGAAAGGACTTCCTTCCACGCAGAAAACAATGATGACATGAGGCTAACTGCCATCAGGCAGCTCTGACGGAATCATTTCAGACAAGGCTCTGAGAGGAGAAGGCTGGTGGGAAACAGGCATTTACAGTCTCAAAGGACCAAGGGAAGTGCCAAGCCAGCCTCACGTTAGAGAGCATAACCAGACAGTCAGAGCTGGGATCACCGGCAACGGGACAGAGGCTTGACCAGGCTCCAAGGACACATTCTACGCAGGACTTTCAAATACGCTGTGGATTTGTACCAATCCCGGGAGAGGTGGCACATGATGACCTGCACACACTTACAGGAGGCAGCGGTGGGGCAGGTGAAAGGGCAAAGGAGGAACAAAGCTGGACTTTCCAGAGCACATTCCACACCCTCCCCGTCATGTAAATGCCAGTCAGTGGAAAGGATGCTGGGGAGACGTACATCACGTGCCAGACACAGGTCAGGAAACAAACACACAAACAAATCAAGAGAAACTAAGGAAAATCGGTCAGCTTAAGACGCTGGCTAGACATTCACTAACATGTGTGACACACAGAATGTGAAACAAACACACAACAGAAATAACACACATCCACTCAGACCCTAACTGCACGTTAACCTAGAAAAGAGGGAAAGCCGGGGCCAGAGGTGCAGGTGTAACTACAAGAAAAGGTTTCAATGTGAGTGAAATGGCAAAACCTAAAGTGGGTCAGAGCCAGGTTCTGAGGACACTGGGTGGATACAAAGCAAAAGACGCCCGTTGACCAGCTGTGTGACCAAGAGGAAGCAGCCAGACCCTGTGACCTCCAGCGTCCTCAGCAGGAAGCAGGATGACCCCACACCGCTGATAAATGCCCAGCTCCACGAACAGTGCCAGCGAATAACAAGCCTCGTGATGTTGTTTTTGGATAAAGAGACGTTTAACAGCACAGAGAAGAATTTTTAAATCCGATGAAGCATAAGAAAATGTACCACTTTTTTGAAGAGGTCCCTCACCATTAATAAATTATGCCGAACCTTTATCACCAATTAGCACTGATTATTTACTAGGCTGACAATTGTTTATAAAGTCACCCACCTGCCAAGTACAATCCTTTATAACTTCTGTAGGCATTGGAATAACAAGGAGATTCTGCAGAATAAAGGCAGCCTAAAAAGAAAGAAAATGTCAATACTGCCACCTTGTGTCATCTCTGAAATAACCAATGCGTCCTGGTAACCACAGACATCTCCTGGTCACCTGCACAGGCGGAGGGCCAACCAGGAGGCCGATGGACAGGGTTCCCAGTTAAACAAGGTGGGGCCCTAACAGCAGATGGAACGGTTGCACTTACAAACACATCCTATCCCTATTGGAGAACTTGATGTTTTCTTAAAAAACTGTAGACAATAAATTGTCCTGATTTCATTTAGGAAATAGACTTACAAGTTTCAGTTATGAAATTGCAGATTTTACATATATTCTCACAAACACACAGACACACACACACCCCACTCTCTCCCCTTCAACTTCCATACAAACCCTCCCCAATAAAAACTTGCTGACTACAAAAATAATCCACCGTGTCTAAGCAGGTCCTGAAGATGATAACATTTAATAATCATATGAATATAAACAGTGGTTACTAACTGGATGCTGATGTAGGCTGCAGGAATAATGAAAGAATGACAGGAGCATTGGGAGGGATTCCAAGAGTGAAATTTTCTATTCTCTTAACAGCAAGTCAACAGATAAAGCTTAATACGATGCCTGAGAAGTAAGGCCTAAATATAAGCATTATCGTCTAGCGTGAAGGGTAAACAGCTGTAACAAGAGCCTTCAGGGCTTGAGCTCAGGTCCACTGAGTGCTGGGCTCAGCAGCTGCAGTGTTCTCTATAAACACAGAGTCATTATCTAACGCTGCTTTTAGCATTATTTGCATCATTAATCATTTTGCTAAAAGGACCAATGAAAAGAAAAGCACACACCATTTAGAAAGGATTTGAATGTTTGCGTTTCCTCTCACGTGTCACATGATGCATCTCACAGCCCCTTATCCTACACAAAGGAGCCCTGGAAGGGCTGCTAACCGAAGGTCAGCGGTTCAAATCCACCAGCTGTTTGACAAGAGCAATCTGGTGACGGGTCACTCCTGTAGCATGGGACCCACTCCACGGCGGTGGGTTTCTATCCCAAGTCTGATTTGGTTTTATCCTTGGTAAGGAGCGGCATCCTGTGTAATGTGCGGAGCTGCTAAACGGAAGGCTGGCAGTTCGAACCTATCAGCTCCCTCACAGGACGAAGACAGGCAGTCTCCTCCCACTTTGATTTCCAGCCTTGGGAGCCCAGTGGTGGGTCCCCAGGTGTCAGGATCGATGGTCTGGCAGCACGCTTTCACTGACCTTCCGTAGACCTTCACGAATGCTCGCTTGCTCACTCCTTCCCTCCCTTTCTCCCTCCCTCCCTCTCGGGGTCATCAGGTCAGCTTTAACTCAGAACCCTCCCCTGGGCGTCCAAGACTGTAACTCACTCAGGAAGAGACTACCCCTCTTTCTTTCTCCAAGGAGCCGCTCATGGACTTGAACCTTCAGAGGCATGGCCTTTGGGTCAGCAGCACAGTTTTCTAAGGACTACACGACGAGCCCCACAAGTGGTGTTTTAGCGTAAAAGGCATCGATCCACCTCCTCTGTGAACTTTCATGGGCTTCTGGCAGGTGAGGGGCAGGGCTCAGCCTCCTCTGCTGGTTCCTCCAGGAAAGGCCTGGGCGAGCGGGGAGACGTACCTCGCGGCGTACCATGCTGCACTCCGACTGGTCCAACAGGATGCTCACCACAGTCCCCCAGAGCCCGCCGGAAATGTTCTGACAGCTGCTCGCCAAGGCCACGCAGCCGCTTTCCAAGGTCGTCAGCGCCGATCCCAAGGCCAGTGAAGTGAATCTCACCTGTTCAAGTGACAGAGAAACCTGGTCACGTTGAGGAGTCCCATTTCCTTAACAAGAAGTCTTTCTTTCCCTTCTTTTTCCCCCTCTTCTTCTTGTATACCGTCGAATCAGATCTGACTGGCATAGAAGGAGATTTTTCCCTCCTTCTCCAGCGGATCATCTGGTGGAATCGAGCCGCCTAACAAGAACTCCTCCTGCCTGATGGCATCCCGGCTGACAGACCCAGTGACTACAGGCACTCAGGAAAGATGGTGCCCTGTGGCTTTAGGTGTGAACGCAAGTTCTATTTCATGGATGAGGAAAGAAATATTATAGCTCTGGTCATCCCCCAAGTATAGCTAAATGAAAGCAAATGGAAGGAAAACAGTCCCAAATCCATCTGTAATCAAGACGTTCAAGGGCAGCTTCTCGGCTTTCACTCCCAAGAGTCCACAGAGCCTGACGGATTGTTCTCCTCACTCCCTGGACGTAAGGAGGGACTTAGTGTGCACTCTGTGGTTCTCCCGTTTTCAAACGTTTCTTCCAAATGAATGGTTTAAAGCTCCTTCAGAACAAAGCAGTAACTGAAGGACCTTTTGGTACGATGTATTGTAAAAATGTACTATTTTCTCCATATCTATCTTAAAAGACAAATGTTTCAAATAAGACTGACTCAGTACAATGTACTTGTAAGTACTATCACTGCTACTCTATGAATTCTGACCCCAAAATACAGCTTCAATGATTGCTACAACATAACAGAGAAGAATGTCTAATCGCAAGCAGGAAAGCGGCCCAAGTTCAATGTGTGTAAAGAATGAGATTTCAAAGTTCAGATGAAGCACCACTCCTCCTCTAAATCAAGGATTTCACTGCAAAGTGGCAGGACTATTCCTGGCATGAAGAGGTAAACAAATGGCTGAAATGGAAAAATACACTAATAATATTAAAAGTTCACAAGGTAATGCAACTAATATTCAATGACATGTAAATGTCACCTGGCTTATCATTTATCCCGACCTAACTTTCTACACTATTTGAGAAACTGCCTGGACGACTCCAGTAGTTTTCTACTGTCCTTTCTGGACGTGGTACATTTATTTCTATTTTCAATCTGTATCCTAATGAACTTTACTAAAAAACCCCAAAACTAAACCCGCCAGCCTTGTACGAGGTCAACACATGACCAAGTTCTACTAGAGGGTTTCCTAGGCTGTCGGTCTTTAGGAAAGGACACTGCTCATCTGTGCCTCTCCAGTGGCGGGTGGATCAGAACTGCTGACCTTCTGGTTAGCATCATGGCACGTTACACACTGCGCACCGGGACTTCTCATTTTGCCAGCAGGTGTCTGCCTGCTCTCCTGAGTCCAGGAAGAACCGACGGGAGCAGCCTGGCACTCACCTCTGGGTCCCGGTCGACCCACAGGGGGATCAGCCACGTCAGTCCTTGCTGAGGGGACACACGCTCGTCGCCGTGGCTGCCCAAAGGCAGGAACCAAAGTGGCATCCAGTCCTGCGGCAAGAAAAGGAGGGAGGCAGAAAGGCTTTCTGTGACTTTCTAAAAACAGAACGATTTTCACTTAACTTGGCTTTCAGAGATTGGAACAAAGAACGTACGGCAGCCTCGATTCAGTCCACTGATGTGCAACAAGGCAACTAAAAATCTCACCTTCTCCTAAAAGAGTTTTAAAAGCCTTTCCCCCTAATAATTTAGACAGAATAGAGTTTTCTAGTGAATGATGATCTCAACCAAAACAGATTCCGATTCAAATGCAGAGTCTACAATATTCGCATTAAAATGTAGCTGCCCGACAGAAGCATCTCAGCGGATGGAGGGACCCCGTCGGGTGAGGAACCCATGGCTGCAGCGCCGGCCGCAGTGCCTGGTTTACCAGCAAGGCGCTCAGACGCCAGCAGCCGCTGCATCTCACCGAGCCTGGGGCCTGGGTCATCATCTCGTGCGAGAGGTGCAGCAGACACAGCACAGTACTCTTGGTGACACCTTTGCCCATGAAGGACATCGCATTCCCGCCTCGCTCCACGTAGAAAGAAGTGATGACCTGCAATGCAAACACGGACCATTTCAGGACCTCAGAGCAGCAAAATGTTCCACCGCCTGCTTCCACTGCCCCTCGCTGCAGAAACAGAAAATACTCTTCATTTTTAAAGAAGTTTCCCCTTGGAATTTGTACAAAAGATGAGCCCTGTCTTCCTAAGACACTTAAAACATATGTCAACAGTACAGCATCCTTTAAGCTCTCACCTAAGCCAGTGCACTATAAAGATCTCGCTGGCAAACATACACAGAAATTGCCAGCACCATGAAATGCATTCGGAGCAGCAGGCGTATGCGAGATCTAGAATCAGGATCTCAGTGCGAAGGCCTGATTTCCCCACATCTCACCACCTTGACATTTCTACTGCACATTTACCCATGATTGTGATGGAAGACACTCACTTTAACTTTTCTGTATTCACATAAGGGATCTGGTACAATTTCATCAATAACAACAATGAAAAGACATGAATCAGAATGGACACAGAAAGTTGCTACAGCAATTGAGGCAAAGTCTGCACATCAGGTGGAGGAAACCCTGCAAAAAATGGGCTGAGGACCCACCAGAACAGCTGGGGGCCCCAATAACTAGTGCAGTACTCAACAGATACGCAAAAGCGGCTCCTCACACATCATGATCTGAATATACGACATAGTACAGCCAACCGTAAACAGTGTAACACCAAACACACAAACTGAGGAAATAAATTGAGAGTCTAGTAGAAACTAATCCATCCATTTATGGAGAAGCGATTTTTTACAAAGGTAGAAAATTTGACAGGAGAGGACTGTCTTCAACAGTCCTGACAAAGTCAGATTTCCACTTGTAAAAAATGAAACAGGATCCACACCTCACATCATATAAGAAAAACAAGTTGAAAATAGATTAAGGCCTAAATGTGCAACTAAAATCATCAAATGTTTAAATCAAGGAAAGGCAACACTGCAAAGATTCGCTGTAAGCGATGGGTTATCAGATACTAAACTAAACTAGATACATGACAAAAAAAGAAGAACTTCTGTTCATAAAAAGACTGCATCAAGAAAATGAAAAGTTACCAACTGGGAGAAAATCTTCAAAAACCATATATCCACCAAGAACCAAATGACCAAAAATCCATATAAAACAGCAACAGAACAAGGCAAATAGCAGAATCACAAAATGGGCAAACAATCTGAACAGACATTTCACCAGAGAGGACATCCAAATGGCCACTGACCACAAGAAGAGCCTCGGCAGTGTTAGCCATCAAGGGGACACTTCCCAAACCACAAAGAGACACAAGTTCACGGACACTAGGACAGCTGGAGCTCCCTGAGTAAGAGAAACAAGCAGAAAGTAACAAACGCAGTGAGAACGTGGGGAAACTAGGACCCTCGCTCACGGCTGGCAGGACGTCAGAGACACTAGGGAAACTCAGGGTGGTGTTTCCCCAAAAAGGACAAAAATAAAAATACCCTATTACCCAGCAATTCCACTCTGGGGCATGTACTGTACTCAAACGACTTGAAAGGAGAGACACAAGCAGGGATTCGTGCACCGATGTTCATTACAGCACTACGCACAGTGGTCAAAACGTGGAAACAAGCTCGGTGCCCATCAGCAAATGGATACATAAAATGTGCTTCAGACAGACACCGGCATATTGACAGGCGGGAAGAGAAGTCTTAGTGCATGCCACACGAAGGGTAGAGCCAGAAGACACTGAGTGAAAGAGTTCAAAAGCAAATGTGCAAAGAACGGAGTTTATTAGCTGTTAACCAGGGATGAAGGGAAGAGGGAAAGGGGTTAACGGTAACAAAATGACCAAGCCGACTGAGGGCAGATTACTGTCACGTGGCTGTAAAGTCAATTTGGCAGAAGTGACATATGTACTTAGAATAATGACCCCAAAATAAGAATGGTTGCTGAGGCTTCTTGGTTTGGGGGCTGACCACCATGGTTCTATGCACCAGGCCATTCGATCTGCTGCTAACACACTTAGTGCTTCCTAGCTCACTGCTCAGTGCCTGGGGCCCGAAAAGCTCGCCAGCAGCCATCCAGCAACTGACATCTACACCGCAGAAGAGAGGAGGGAAGAGAGTCAGGAATAAGAGTAAATGGAACGTGTGGCTAATTGCCCCAATGACAACTGCCTCCTTTATCGGGAGACTCGAATGGATGGTGCCCAGCTCCCACTAGGGAACACGTGATCAAAGAGCCAAGAGAATCCTCATCAAAAGGGAGAAACAGAGAACAGAACTGAAGGTCACAAGGGCTCCAAAATTCTGCAGCCATGACAGTTAGATGGATGCAAGAAATCCCAGTATTGGCAGATGCTGTGAAGAGCCTTTGCTGTGTTTGTGCAGATGCCAGGTGGCTTTAGTAGCTTTCACTCGAAACAGTTTTCACTTTAAAATATGTTGACATGTAAACATAATTAATCTTTTTTTTTATTAAATTTTGTGCATTGTAAGTGACCACTGTCTCTTTGAATTGCTATAAAGTTCTCCAATGTTGGAGAAACGAAAGAGGCCAGGCCGTGAGGTGAGGCCGGGTGGGAGTGGGCTGGTGATGCTCAGTGGCGTAGGAACTGGACTGTCTTCCGACAACCATCCTCTGTGGAAACTGCTTCTCATCGAAGTTTAAAAGCTTTAAGAAACCACTACTTTTTTTTGCTTTTATAGAAAAGCCTTACTTCCATTGCGAGTTCACAGAATATAATTTCAAAATTAAGCCTGTGCTCTGAGACACGAAAAAGCTGCCCATCTGAAACCTCCAAGAGCTTGTTCTTCATGCCACTCTGAGCAGGGCATGGAGTTCCAGGGTCCCAAATATTGACACCTAACATTTTATTCATTATAAATTTACCTCGAGTTACAGAAATTATCATTGTGTGCCATGGAGTCAGAGTCAACTCGTAGCTGACCCTGCAGGGTCAGCAGAACCTATAACCTGCACAGGAGGAGAATGGCCATCTTCCCCCTCGGATCAGAAGTGTGGTCCCTTGCCAAAGGGAGGCAGCTTCACGTGGTGGGGAAGCAGGACACAAAGCCCACGGGCCGATGGTCAGCTTCACGTGGTGGGGAAGCTGGACAAAGACCCAATGGCCACTGAGTAGCTTCACATGGTGGGAAAGCAGATGCAGAACCCTGGGCTGACAGTCAGCTTCACGTGGTGAGAAAGCAGGATGCAGAGCCCACGGGCCAACAATGGCTTCCCTCTCATGTCGGTTCACATCTGCCTTACTCTCTTCCTGAAACGGAGATCCATCTAGTCTGTGGTAACGAATAGCACCACTTGGCTTATCAATTGAACAGAAGGTCCTGAGTAGGGTGCAATCCGACTCTGTGACACTTTCTAAGAAGTGGCAGATGTCTTTGTACTGAACGCAGTCACTATGCAAAGATAAGAGGTCTGCCTTCTCCTACTGAGGAATGAAGTGGGAGCACACGCACCTGTTTACGCCAGATCAGGACTCGGGGATGTGGTGCTGCTGAGGGAGGAACAGCACAAAACAGGAGGTGCACTGTCTACTGTTCAGTTAACAGGCAATGCTGATGTCAAAGACTCAAACACCAGTGCCCTTTCTCCTCCTCTTCTCACCCAGGACGGGGTCCTGTTCTCCATGAAAACCTGCTGCTCATTTCAGGTATCAGACACAGAGACGTGACCCGTGTCTCTCCCTGTCCAGAGGGCCTGCTGGGAAAGCCTCAGTGCAAAGCAGCATTATCGCTCTGCAGCTTCCCAGGCTCCCACAGGAGCAGGTCCTCATGGACCCACCAACACAGGTGAGAACCGCTTCAAGGAAGAGACGTGTCCACGAAAGCCCACAAACACGGGGTTCACCTCGCAGAAGAGACGTGTCCATGTAGCCCAAAAACACGGGGTTCACCACAGAAGAGAGACGTGTCCACAAAAGCCCACAAACACGGGGTTCACCTCACAGAAGAGACGTGTCCATGAAATCCCACAAACACGGGGTTCACCTCACAGAAGAGACGTGTCCATGAAATCCCACAAACACGGGGTTCACCTCACAGAAGAGACATGTCCATGTAGCCCAAAAACACGGGGTTCGCCACAGAAGAGAGACGTGTCCACGAAAGCCCACAAACCCGGGGTTCACCTCACAGAAGAGACATGTCCATGAAATCCCACAAACACGGGGTTCACCTCACAGAAGACGTGTCCATGTAGCCCACAAACGCAGGGCTCACCAGCCTCACCCCAGGTGATGCTGTAAACCAGGTACTTGTAATGGAGTGACATTTTAAATGCATTAGAGGAGCTGTTTTTAAAACAACTTCCTTAATTCTTTAGCTAATATGTTTGCTTTCAAAACTCACACATTTCTGATAATGGAACACTGTGAAGACTGAGATAACTAATTATAGAACCGACAAGTTTGCCCTTTTCCAGTATTTATAATTATTTGAGCAAAATTAAAACCCATTTTATAAAGTAGCAGCATTAAAATTCAGCCTATGCATATAAAATGAATTTTATAGATAACTAGAATATTTGAAGCCTTCCTTTTAAAAACACGAGATTATGTTCCCCTTCCGAGGGGGGAAATTCTAGACAGAACAATCTGCACCATGATTGAACAATGAAGATACAAAACCACACTTGCATTCATTTACACCAGGATCTAATGTTATTTGAACCATATGTACGTCTCATCTTAATTATTCTTTGACCACAGTACAAATCAAGAAGTCCTGGTGGTACAGTGCAGCATGTGTCACACTGGTTGGCGGTTCCAATCCACCAGGCACGCTGCAGGAGGAAGATGGCCATCCCCTCCCGTCAGGATTACCGCCCTGCAAACCAGATGGAGGGAGCTATGAATCTGACTGGATTCCAGGGCCCTGGGATGGTTTATGTGCCCGAGGGCAGTGAAAGGTGAGTGTTCCAAGCTCACAGTTCACTAGGAGACAGATACACACAGCAAAAGAAATGCATGGTGTGCTAAGTGTCCCAACAGCAGCATCTATACACGGCTACGGGTAGAAACTCCCAGAAGAGAACAGTCAGAAATCTTTACGCGTCTGTACGGGGAAAAAAAGAAAAGGTTTACTACAGGATGAAAAAGGAATACAGGCCTCACACCATGTCCCCCAAACAAAAGAGGAAATGATGAGTGTGAAACAGGGTTCCGTTTTTGTTTCGTTCTGAGGACAGCCAGATCTGGCTGAAATGTCAGTGAGGCCAAGGCAGAAGGCAGAGCTAAGACTCCAAGTGCCCACGAGCAAAGGCTTCAGCGGTTCCCAGGTTCGGAGCTGGGCAGACGGCGAGGTGGGGGGCACAGGAGAAGAGGGGAGGGGGAGAGGAAGAGTCCGCTCCGCCCTGCACGTCCTGACAGCACCCCGTCTAGGGTCCCATCTCCACAGCCAGTACTCAGCTTTCACCTCCCTGCTGTCCTGGGTGCCCCAAGTTGTCCTGCCGCACAGTGCACTGAGGACCCCAGCCCCCAGCCTGCATCACAGGCACATTCTGGGCACAGTGAGGTGGCAGACGTGGCCAGTACATGGGCCTTTCTAGACTCACGCAGTTCAGCGCAGAAATAATGAAAGCGAGACCAGGCACAGAAGCCAGATTCCGTGTCCCTCGTCCACTCTGACGATGAAACAAAAGGACAGGATGGCAAGGCGCAGGGCACCTGTCCCCGTGCACTGACATGCCACCAACACAAGGAAGTGGCAGCAGAGTTGTCCCTGGGGACTCGGCCTCCACCTGGGACCCTGGCTACGGCCTGGGCTCAGATCCCGGCTAGGACTGTCGCCGGCCATGGTCACTCACCTCCAGCAGGCCGGACAAGTACTTGGAACAAATGTCAAGCGGCTCTGTGAGCGGAGAGTGAGCGCTCCAGCCCGGGGCCGCAGTGAGGTGGGCCATGGCCCGCAGGGTTCGCTCCAGGGAGGGCAGGCCGTAGAAGTGGGGGGCATCCGTCACCCGCAGACACTGCAGCAGTCGCAAAGCCAGCTGTGTGTGGAGGACACGGAGGAGCTCCAGGCACTTCCTGTGTGGGCAGAGGGGTATCAGTGCGGGGCAGGGCAAGGAACCGGCTGAGCGGGCAGCCCTGTGTCCCCCAAACACACACTTGGAGTGAGGAAGGCATTGCAGTCTACGCTGTAGTGATGGATGCAGCCCTGTGGAGGTATACAAACCTTCAGGTGTGCACTCTGAAATGGCTAATAGAACTCTTCATAAAATACCTCTTTAAAGTGATAACTAAAGCTATATCTGAGAATCATCAGTGTAAGAATACTCAGGAGAGTCTGAGAAATAGTCCAGGTGATGCCTGAAGATTGCAAGAGTCCCTAGTACTAACCTCCAGAAGACAGCAAGCTCGTGTGTGTGTGTGTGTGTGTGTGTGTGTGTGTGTGTGTCCATGTGTGCCTGTACACACCTGTGTGTGCCTGTGCATGCATGTGTCTGTGTGTGTGCGTGTGCACGTGTGTACCTCTGCGTGCACCTGTGTACATGCACACGCCTAGGGACACGGGAACTCACACTTGGGCAGGAGTGGAGACCAACTGAAACAGGGAGGCAGACAGCAGAACCCCTTAGGGACGCCCCTCGTCCCCGTAATTTTAAAGAACGTGAAATACCCTGGGCCCAGCGAGCTCAGCCGCCGGCCGCCCGCCCTCCCCTCGGGCGGCACGCAGGGCGCACCTGTCGGCGGCGGCCGGGAAGCGGAGCAGCGAGGTACTGAACAGGCCGATGAGCTCCTTCTGCAGCTGCTGCCTCACGGCCGCCCGCACATCATCCACAGCTTCCCGCGCCTCGGCCTCCATCGGAACCAGCAGGTCCAGCAAGGGGTTCGGACCCTGAGAAACGGCATTGCACAAAAGGGGCTTACCCTCTGACTCAGCTCAGGGCTGCTTCGTGGAAAGGGTTCTGTACTAACAACCTCGTTCTGGATTAACTAGGGGTGATGGGTTATTAGGTACCATGCAGTCAGAACTGACCATAAATGACACTCCAGGGGGGTTGGTTTTTTTTTTTTTAGGTAGTAAATCCCAAGGGAAGAGCTGTCCATCTCCTTCTGCAGAGCAGCTGGTGGACTCGAACCATGTACCTCTGTCTTGGCAGTGCAGCTCCTTACACGGAGCCACCAGAGCTCCCTAACTAAGGGTGACTGTACCGACCAAAGGGGCTGTGGTGGCACAGAGGGTTAAGCATTCAATTGCAACTGACAGGTTGGCAGTTCAAACTCACCCAGCAGCTCCAGAGGCGAAAATACCCGGCAATTTACCCCCAGAAAGATGATTTGGTGCTGCTGTGTCATGGGGTCAATTTGGACTCACGGGGACCTTCTGTACAAGGAAGCCGACCACCTGGCCGTCCGGCGTCCTCACTGCTGTCACCACAGCGTCAACGCCCCTCCTGCAGGGGCTGCCTCTTTCTCACTGACCCTCCACGTTACCAAGCACATCTGTCTCCAGGGACTGGCCCCTCCTGGTAACACGCCCAAATGAGGCACAACACAACCCCACAGCTCACAACAACTTCTGTCTGCATACCAGGTGTGCGTGGTTACAGCTCAGCTGAGTTGTGTTCAATAAACAGCATTTGTTTTGTTCACGCAACAAAAGAAAACACAGGCATCCTAGAAAATGAGGCAAGACCCAGCAGGATGGAGAGAAATGCACACAGCACCCCAAGCACCTCACACAGCCAGCCTCTCTCAGCACGCCGGCACCGTGTGAGCACACAGAGACAACCACAGCTACAAGAACGGTCACCCCAGCTGCCTTCCGGAAAAGCCCCAGCGTCCCGTTGCCTAGCGGTAACTGTGTACCACACCAGCTACCAGGTCGCAGGATCCCTGAGCGCCTCGAGCTGCCATACCTGTGCACTCATCTCCGGCTGGTCTCCAGCTAGGGAAGGACTCTTGCCAAAGGAATGACGGAGTCAGAACCTAGTAAGAGTCGTAATGCCTAACGTCCTCAGAGCGGCCAGGCAGTTACCAGGCCGAGCGAGAAGGTCCTGACGCAGGCCACTCCTGACCGCTACTCGTAAGACTGAAGTGTGGCGGGAAAATGTCCTCTTACATAACAGGAATAGAATGTAACTGAATTACATCCAGAAATGGTGGCTCTGTTAGCCAACACCATTCATAAATATACCACACTTTTAAGACCTATAATAATGTCACTCTTTGCAGAAAAGTGAAAAAGACTTAATTTCGTTTTAATAAAGGAAAAGATAAGGATTTTTCACTCCTACTACTTTACAGGAGAGAACTCTGGTGGCCTACTGGGAGGAAACTGTGCTGCAATCCCAAAGGCATGGAGTTCGAGGCCATCAGCTGCTCCGCAGGAGAAGGATGGACAATCTCCTCCTGTGCGATTAACTGCCTCTGAAAACCCACTGGAGGGTCAGCTATGGTTAGTTCCTACTCTACGGTACACAACAACAGTTTTACAGGAAGAAAGGTGAGGTTTACAAAGAGACTAAGTAACCTTTTCCAAGGTCACATAAAACCGGCAACAGAACAAGGATTCAACTTGAGAATCATCTACCCCCACAGCTGGCCAAGTCTCAGGCATCAACAGTACATGAAATTATACTCAAAGGGAGATAAAATAAAAATATAATTACTGTTGCCATGAAATCGTTCATGTGAAAAATGCCAATTCCCAATTAACTGCATTTTCTTTTCCGACTGACAGGGACCCTGCAGGGCAGAGCAGGGCTGCCTACGAGCTGCCAGGACTGGAGACCTTCGGGAAGCTGCCTGGCATCTTCCCGTGGAGCATGTGGGTTCATACCCCGGGGACATGGTGGGCACCCACAGGTCACCTGCAGACCCCTCGGGGAAAAGAAACTTCCAGACGGGGAGAAGATCTCAAGTCGCCTGGATCATGAAGGTGCAGGTCACATAATGAAATGTAATGGAAGCTTTCGGGAAGCACTGAGGGAGATATTTGTTTCTCACTACATTTACAGGACAGTGCCCTAGCAAACCCAAGAGTACAAGCCTTCCCAGTATTTCTGTTCATCCTGAGCAAGAAGCAACGCCTCCTCTCAAATAACCTGTCTGTAACTTAACCCCAAATACTGCTTCATTCGCCAGTAAAAGGATCAAGACAGACATTCAGGAAGACTTAAATTAATATAGTGTCTATAGTATTCTCATTGTGTGCGTGTACCGTCAAATCAGATCTGACTGGTACAGGAGGAGATTGCCCCTCCTTCCCCGGATGCTCTTCCTGCGGCAGAGCATCTAGTGGATTTGAACCATGCACCTCTGGGATTGTAGTTGCAGCTTCTTGCCATGGGAATCCCAGAACATTTAATTGTGCTAATACGAAACCTATACTTGGACCAAGAGGCAGTCGTCAGAACAGAGCAGGGTAACACTGCATGGTTCAAAATTGGGAAGGGTGTACGCCAGGGATGCATCCTGTCTCCATACCTTTTCAACATGTATGCAGAGCAGATTATCCAAGAGGCTGGGCTCTATGAGGAGAATTGTGGCATCAGGATTGGTGGAAGGTCTATTAACAATCTCCGTTATGCAGATGACACAACCCTGCTTGCTGAAACTGAGGAGGACCTCATGCACTTGCTGCGAAGGGTCAAGGACTGCAGCCTTCAGTATGGACTGAGGCTCAATGTCAAGAAGACAAAGATTCTCACCACTGGACCAATTGGCAGCATCAGGATGGATGACGAAGAGACTGAGAGTGTTCACAGCTTCAGTTTGCTCGGCTCCACAGTGAACACTCTTGGCACCAGCAGTCAGGAAATCAAAAAGCGTATCACGATGGGAAAGTCTGCTGTTAGGGACCTCTCTAAGGTACTCAGGAGCAACAGTGTCTCTCTGGAGACTAAGGTGCACCTGATACAGGCCATGGTATTTGCAATCGCTTGCTATGCATCAGAGAGTTGGACAATGACTACGGAGGACAGAAGGAGAGTGGATGCTTTTGAGCTGTGGTGCTGGAGAAGGGTACTGAATGTACCCTGGCCTGCCAGGAAAACAAACAGATTCATCTTGGAGAGGATTAAACCAAGCTACTCCTTGGAGGCAAGGATTCTGGGGCTTCGTCTGACATACTTTGGACATGTTGCCAGGAGGGACGGGTCCTTGGAGAGGGACATCATGCTTCGGAGGGTTGAGGGACAACGCAGGAGGGGAAGACCCTCTATGAGATGGATTGATTCGGTGACTGGGGTAATCGGGATGGGTGTGTCAGAGGCGGTGCAGTTGGTGCGGGATAGAGCAGGGTTTAGGCTGTTGTGCATAGGGTCGCTATGAGTCGGAAACGACTCGACGGCACATAACAACAACAACATAGTATTCTCAATCCTAAATAAGCACAAGCCAACCTAAAGCTTCTCTACTTTCCTTTAACTCCTAAAGTGGTGTCAAAATGAACAATCAGCTCTTAATGCAAATGTCATCCTAGAAAAATTTTGCTCCCAGGAATTCTGACCCTGACGTACAAATAAAGTAGAAGATATGGATGAATATGCATGTGCGCACTGACACAGTATATGATGCTAAAGCAGGAATCTGCTGGAGAATTTCATCCTATTGACAATTAGCTTTTACTTAACATCAGCGGGTGAGTCTCAGCATCATCGCGCCTGCAGCGGGGGAAGCGTTAGTGATCCTCAGTGTCTCTGCTGACCCGAGTACTCCCCACACCCGGCATCTCTGCCTTCAGACAGGAGTATTCCACCCTATTCTTCAGCCCGTCACTGGAGTCAACACTTGGTCACGGATGACCTCCAAAGGGAAGTCACTTTTAGAAGGGAGGTGGGTACTTCCAGGCACACTCAGTTATCACTCGTCCTCTCTCCCTCTCTAAGGCAGTGGGACATGCAGTGACCTGACTGAGCCTTCCACACACAGACAGACCATGAGAGACGGCCACAGCTGAGAGACCCAAGCTCACAGCTCAGAACAGCCTCAACCAGAAAGCAGATGGAACTGAGGCACTGTTCTCACAAAATCCCACAAAACACCCATTCGGAAAAATATTCAGACTCAGCTCAGGTGGGCTATTATCCACATCAACAAAATACTGTAACAATAGGATACAGCTTAGTGGAGAAAAACAATCCCTAAAGTACTTAAGAATCACAATACATCTGTAATAAACAAATGCTTCAATAAAGCACATACACAAACCGGGCAGCTTCATTCATTCGCATGACTTCCTTTCTGTGTGATCACACATCCACACATGCCTAGTTTTGTTCATTTTTGCCCTTAGAGATTTTGTATACTGTCCAAGTAGATGCACATATTCAAAGTAACTTGTCCGAACTAAACTCCTGGGAATCTAACTGCCGCCATGAACTACTGCCTCCTTTGTCCTGACAAGAACCAGGTGGTGTCCGGCTTCCATGACTCAAAGTTACAGTCAAGGACACAAAAGATGAATCTTGATCAAAAGGAGAGGAAATCTTAAACACAATACAAATTTCTATGAAACACACACTTACTAGACCCACTGACACTAGAGGGACCCCTGATTGTACTGCCCTGAGATAATACTTAATCCTAGAACAAAAACTATCTCCCAGAGTTTTCTTTACACCAAATAATTGCTTTGCTAAATGAGTAAAAATGGTGATCTGAAACATGACACTTTTAAAAATAATAATCTCTGTGTGATCAACTGACAGCAGTGTCTGTCCAGGAGTTACTGGAGTAGCTCTTGGTGGTGGTGTCCGTCCTAGTTACACTTCTGGTCCAAAGAGAGCATGTGCTCGGCGGTTCAAGTCCACCAGCAGGTCTGAGCGAGGACAGGCAGGGCCATCTCCACTGTTAGCTGCAGCCTGGAAACCAAGGGAGAGTCACCCTGTGTTGGAAGGGACTCCACAGCGGCGTTGGTGACTTAGAACTGGAGCACAGATGAGCTGTCTGTCTGTGGGGGAGCAGGTCTGAAGGAATGGGAGTGAAGTCACTTCAGTAGGGCTAGTGAGTAGCCAATGACAAGGAATTGAGGTAGGTAGAGATTGCTGCATGCTGCGCGGGGTAGACATTTCCACCAGAATTAAATTAAGAATCTAAGATTTTTTTTTTCCAGGTATTAGAATAGTAGAAGAAAATTCAAACTGCCTAAGAATGGTTTAACTAGATGAGCTCAATTTAGGTAAATAAACTGATGAATAATTTAAAATTACTTTTATCTCTTCCAGTTATTAAAATTTTTAATTTAAAAATAAAAGTCCTCTGGAAACTCTATTTTGTAGAACTCCTCCATCAGTCCCCACTTACGTTACTCAATTCAAGTGCTAACCTGCAGAGAGGAGACTGTCCCTTCTGCTCCCACTTTCCTGGAAGCTGACTCCTGGGCTGCACTGACTGGCCGGCCCCTCACTGCTGAGGCCACGAAGGGTCAACTCTGCCTCTGCTGCTGTTAGTGGGTCAACCCCGACTCGAGACGAACCCACGTGAGCCCAGCAGGAGCGGCCGCAGAGGTGTCCAGGACCCTAATCTTTCTGGAGGGTGACTTCCTCCTCGATGGCCCCCAGACTTGCGGCTGGTTGGGGGGAATCCTCGGCGAGCAGCCCGGTGTTGAATCACTGAGCCCCCCCGGGCTCCCGAAATCCACTTCACCAAACCCAAACCCAACGCCACTGAGCTGGTATCGACTCCTAGCAACCCTCTGGGACAGAAGAGACGCATCCCGTCCCACTGAGGTTTCCAGGTTGTGAAGCCTGGCACGCCTTCACACGCAGAGCACGTGGTGGGTTCAAACAGCCGGTCTTTCAATTAACAGTTGAGTTCTTCCCACCACACCACCAGCACTTCAATTCCCTTCTGCTCACCCTCAAATGCAGTATTATTATTAGTTATAACAATAATAATTACGAGGTATGAAGGGAAAACTATCAAAAAAGGGCCTTGAAACCAGAATCAAATAGGTAAAGTCACTTACCCTTTCCTAAACTGCATCAAGATTACACTACAACTATCTAGAGTCTTGTAAAATACTCATTTTAATTTCATAAGTCTACATTATACATTTCAACACTCAGAATATCATAAAATTCAGTCATCTGATTTACAGTTTTGCTTGTTAAAGATGTAATTTAGATATTTTAATATGCACAGTGATTCTGCTTGATTAAAATCAAATGAGTTTGATTCTTATTCATTCGTTTCTTCTCAAAAATCTAGGAAATATTTAAAAGATTTGCAAGAAAAAAATTTTACACTAAAGCCACTGCATCTGCTATTTTCACAACTCCCTGCAATCATAATTACTGGAAGACAATTCTAATCACAGAGATTACTTCAAACTTTATTTTTTAAAGGAAACAAGTGAGTAAAAGAATTATTGAATCATAAAGAATTTATAGACCAAATATCTATTTGAATTATTGAAAAATTCAGAGGAAAAGCATTAGAGAGTCTTTTTAATAATTTTTTAATATACAAGTTCTAAAATATTTAAACATCTAAAATGTTTAAAACCTGAAAAGAGAAACTACAGTGACACTCTATTTCACTGTTTTGCTTTATTAAAAATGTGGAGAGAGAGGAAAAGAGTTTGAAAAGTAACTGCCTGAAAATGCCTCTTTGGTGTGGTTTTCACAATGAAAAGACAAAAGAAAATGAAAGTACATTGAAAACATCCTTGAGTTGACTGACAGAGTCCCAACTTCTCTGAACAACAAGCTTCTGTCTTCTGGTAGTTACATGCTCTTCCTACTTATTTAATCACTAAGCCCTCCTTGCCTCATTAAGGAGCCAGCCCAGTGGGTCAGAGCCTGGCCGTTTCTGCGAGGATCTCAGCCCCGGAATCCCACGCGCGTTCTCGGTCCTGCAGGGCCTCTTGTGTGGGAACGTACTGAGTAGCACTGAGGTCTCCCATGCACCTTAGCTGTATTTCTCTTAGTTTACCAGATCTTTTTAGCCTGCACTCCCCCTGGACTGCTGTTCTAGAATTAGGATCACAAAATGAAAAGACAGATGATCTGGAAGAAGTCAAAACACAGAAGAAAGAAGAGTCTGCAGTAATAACTAAAAATAAAGTCAACAAAGCAGACAAAGTGGTGTAAAGGCACCTGTCCCAAGGCTGGTCGGAGCGCTTGTGCACCCAGAAGACCGGGCTGTGATTTAACCCACAGATGGTGGGGCAAAGGAGCCGGCGAGAGAGGAGGCCACAGAGGTGGCACCAGTGAGGGGCTGATGACTTGACAACGTGCGTCTGTGTCAGGAGCAGCTCCAGACGAATACAGACATGGACGAAACAAAGTCTTCATGTTAAAGAAGAAAATGAGGGAGCATTAATCAAAACCTCAGAGTGAGGAAGAGCTTCCTAAGACACAAAACTAAGAAGCTGTAAAGACACTGCGCCTGACGAACACTGCACAGTATCAAAAATGAGAAATATGGGGAGTATGCGAGTTTAACAGGGGAGCTCTGGTGGCCTAGTGGCAAGAAGCTGCACTGCAATCCCAGAGATATGTGGTTCAAATCCACTAGACGTTCTGCCGGAAAAAGAGGGGCAATCTCAGGAGCAACGGTGTCTCTCTGGAGACTAAGGTGCGCCTGATACAAGCCATGGTCTTTGCAATCGCTTGTTATGCATCAGAGAGTTGGACAATGACTAGGGAGGACAGAAGGAGAGTGGATGCTTTTGAGCTG